TTTTAAGATTTAGCATTTGTAGATGGTCTAAAGCAAAGAAATTTTTAAAATTCTGAAAATCTTTTAGAGCTTATGAATTTTGTTTAAAAAATAAAACATATTACACATTAGTGAATAAATCAGTATATATCAAATTATGTAATTTACAAGCGTCACATTTGTGATTTTTTTCATGTAAGCTATAGCTTCTGACCTTTAAATCAAAATCAATACTCATTATTTTATGACATCAATTACTGCTTTATTTATTCAGAAACAGCCTAAATGTTATTTGTGTAGGCTATTTTACTTTTAGTTTAATTACAAGTAGGCCAACAGCGCCCCCTACAGATTAAAACTATTTACGGAACGGGCGTTAGGACCTGGGGGAGGCTGCCGCTGCTGCCACTGCACGTGCTATTACTGTTTACTCTATAACACACCTAATGCCTCATTCTGTACATGCATTCTCAGATTAAATGCAGCGATCCAAAAGAGTGAATCTAATCATCATTCAGAAAAAACTTTGCTTCAAGAATGAGCCACACTGCTGACGCGATCTAATCACTAGCACACCCTGAGCTCATGTGAGTTAACAAATTCCTCTTGTCTGCAAGGCATATCGGCATAATTTTTCATATTGGGCCGATGCCGATATTTACATTTAAAGCCATTATCAGCCGATTCTGATATCAGTGCGATAATATCGTGCATCCCTATTGAAAATTATAATTGAAACAGTGATATTTTTTTTCAGAATTCCAATAATAGAAATTTCAAAAGAACCATAATTATTTGAAATAGAAATGTTTTGTAGCATTATGCTACAAACCACCTGGCGCAAGGCAGTGTGACATAAATGGGAGGCCACACGCAAATTAAATTAACCCAAAAATATTTGTTTATTAATGTAATCCATAACTGAATTAAACCATATCAACACAAAAGGAAAGAGAAAAAGACACACACACAAAAAATTAAAGTATGCACAGTAAGGTCACAAAGACCTTTTTATCAGTCAACTCATCACCGGTAACCCACTGCACCTGCCGCTTGACTCCACCCTGCAAACACACAAGAAAAAAAAGAGAACACAAAACAAACTGTTTTTTATATTTAATATTTTTTATATTTAAAGCGAGTTTTTTGG